CTGGCCAACAATCATTTTATTTCAATTACAAATAATAATCTTACATTGTGTTTATACTTAAGATGTTTAATTACATACAGATAAAGTATCCGGCAAAGCCCAGGGTTTGAGTGAAAAAGGTTTCTGAAAGTGTTATAATATCGTAACATAGACAACAGCAAAGATTTCGGACGCGGGTTAGTTCGCAGGTAAAGCTATTAGAGTTAACGAGGCGGATTTGAGTCCGTGAGATATCACAAAGAAATTCACTTTAAGCTATGAGTGAGTTATAAGAGTAACAACCGATCATTTAGCAAGGATAGTGGTGCTGGACTACCCTCCTTCTGATAAGTAATTCAAAGTTCGGGACAGCTATAAACACAATATCACATTCTTTTTATCTGGTTGTGATTAAAAAATTGATTCGAAAAATATGTTAATTGCACTCTAGTTAAGTTTAAGAAGCTTACAAAGTATTTGAAGTGAACATCTGCATTAGGTTTGGGTACTTGAAACATAATTCAAGTTTGATTTACAATTCTGACAAAATTTACGATGTTAATAAAATACAATTGTTATCTATATGACAATATCTACTTAATTGTGTTATAAATAACAATAACAATTTTCATTAACGTACAGAAGAAATAAAAACTTCACAAATATACTATTACTATTTCTCTTCATTATCAATTCAACTTGCACCAGGCCGGTAGCTCAACAGTAAATCTTAGCTCTTATAATGCTAAAAATAGGGTTTTTATACCTGCATTGGACACAGCACAGAGGGCCTAGTGTTTAGCTTTGCGCCAACAAACAATTTAACTTGCCCCAGACAGGTAGCTCAACAGTAAATCTTAGCTCTTATAATGCTAAAAATAGGGTTTTGATACCTGTAGTGGACACAGCACAGAGGGCCCACTGTGCAGCTGTGCGCCAATAAACTATTTAACTTGCCCCAGACCGGCAGCTCAACAGTAAATCTTAGTGCTTACAATGCTAAAAATAGGGTTTTGATACCTGCAGTGGACACAGCACAGAGGGATCATAGTGTAGCTGTGCGCCAATAAACAATTTAACTTGTTAAAAAAATAAATACAACATGACCTATTACTCCAGAAAAAAATAAGTCCCTTTAATTAATTATATTTGTCACAAGCAGTGTTTGAAGTGGGGTGAAGAAGAAGCAGGATGGCTTGTGAAATTTTTGAAGCTGAGTACTATATTCTTGTTTTTCATTTGTATTACATATTTATTATTATAAAACTAACTAAAATGTAAAAAAATTATAAGCTTATTAGCTCAGTTAAGATCAAAGTCGTTCTGCTGTTAACAAGTACAAAAACAGGGATGACTATTTAAAGCCTTTAAAGGTGGGGTAAGTACTCGCTGTAGCAATCTGTCAGAGATGATTTTTGTGTGGTTAGATAAAAAATGCGAATTTAGTGAAATACCACAACTCTATATATTGTGTCGAATTTCGACATGTTATACTACTATATACCTAAATCAAGGTTGTGTTTTTTTTAAAATTTAGCGCTGTCATAAAAATGTTGATAAAAATCCCGAAAAATCAAGCAGTGGTCACAAAATAAGTCTTGAAGCTACAATAACTTATTCAAAACGTTTTTTTTTAAACATAAATTTCGAACATTTTCTCCGTTTAACTACAAGTAAAATCCATTTGGTTAATTTTTATCATAAGTTATGAAAAATATTAATTTAAAAATTGGAGAAACTTTGGAATTGGAAATCTTGTATATATTGCGAACCGTGGTGTCTGTCGGAGCGTTCGTCTGTCTCCCGTTTGAAAAGCTGCGCACGCAGGCAAAGCTCACACATTCACTTATGAAAGACAGGAAAACAGGCATGAATAATGATGATACCAAATTTTATTTGGCAAGCAGGATATTCTACACTAACTTGTTTGGAATTAATCACACTATCATCCACATTTAAAAATGTGACGTAACTCAAAGAATAAAAATGTAGATTTACCGTATGTTGTTGTTGAGTGGATCTTAACACGACTGAAGTGCTCAATAATTACTTTTCGCGGTGGGTGGTATAAGTAGCTTAGAGCTTTGGTTCTTAGTGAAATCAAGAGTGTAATACAATTAAGCTTTTTAAAGTACATGAAATAATTTAAATTGATAGATTAATTTAAACTTCCCCGTCACTGGGGACGGGTACTTTTGCTTGTATGAAATAAAAAAATCTATTTTTTTATTATTTAGGTTTCAGAAACAGGGAGATGTCAGTGCACTCAATGGCAGTAGCATTTACATGTTGAACCCTTTCCTTCATAAGAGCACCTAGCTCAACAGCTTGTGCAGGTCCCCCCCCCCTCCCAATCCACAACGATCTCTCCAATCTTCATCAAACTCACCAACTAACCAATGTGGAAGATCAAGATTTTTCAGAATGTCGATAAATCTTCTTGGATGTAAATTTTGGAGCATTCATGGAGTCCACAATTCTTGACATACTCAACTATTGGATCATCCAACTGGAACCTCTGATTAATCTCACGTATGACTTCTCTGTATAATTCTTTAGCTGATGAATAGATCTTGATGATTTCTTTATGATTCGTACCAGCATCGTTTGTTTTCAAGTCTTCCAGCGTGGACTCTGCAAATATTCCTAGATATACTTTGTTCAATACCCACTCTTCTTTCTTCAGCAAATTTGTAGCATATTTTGATTAGTCTATTTTTACACGTAGCCAATGAAAAAGCATCATTCTGAAATAGAAAGTTAAAATAATTGCTAATTCCAAATGCATAACTCATACACTCAGGCAAGAACTTCTTTGTAAAGATTCTGTAACTGGGAAAAAACAAGCCTACTGGTTTATATAGAATATTCAAAGACAAGTAATGTGTACTATAACTGCAATCCAACTTACAAGCAGTCTATCAATGCATTGCTTCACCAACACTCATCTGGCCTGTTCAGGTACCAGAACCTTATGCATTTTACAGTTTGATAAATATTCCTCAATTTCTACAGTCTAAAGGCTATACAGGTATGGTTTAGTGACAGACTACACATCAAACGATGATCAAGGTTTGAGCCATGGTGTCACTAGATGGACCTTACACTTTCAGTTGTTGACATATTAGAAAAGTGACAGTCAATCGCACTCTTCAATGCTATTTTTGTGATATTAGTTGATGTTGACATATATGTAAATTATATTATGTAAGTTTTTGCTTTATTTTTATATTGCAGTAAGCTAATTTAGATCTTATAACACAATTTTCTTTCATAAACTTGATGTAGTAAGCTATAAGTAGTTATTCTTCAAACGCCCAGTCTTAGATTTCAGGTCTTAAATGAAATTTGTGTATGTTCTGGTGAGAGTTAGATTTTCTCTTTAGTTATATTAACAGCTTTTCTAAAATGAATTATTTCCAACACTTATAGATCTTTTCAGCTAAGATACACCAATTTGTTGCCACCAATAACCTATTTTCTTGTTTGACTCATGACCTAGAGATTAGAAAAACAATTTTTGCCCATCAGAGCAGCTCAGTCTTCTTATAAAAACAAAATGTCTGCTATATGTAAGTATAAAAGTGAGAGAATTTGAATTACAGGGGGATTTTACCTCTTATCTTCTTAAACCTAAATCCACCCTGTTAAATTTATCAGATAATTTTCATATTTCTTCCAAAATGTCTCAAGCATTTTCTAACACGTTTGTGGTTAGAACTTTCATCTGTGCTCATTTTTAACATGAAATGCATTTCTTTCAAAATCAAACGATATTATTATTATTTCTTTAAACAGCATTAAATGTTGTTGTTGTTTGAAGTTAAGCACAAAGCTTTGGATATGCCTCTGCCCTCAATATTAACTGCAAGCCATAGCTGAGCTGAAGTAAAAAGATTAAGTAAATCTACCATCACTGGTACCCTGATAAGTAAACCTCACTACAACTTATGTCATTAAGTAAATCTAACGTCACTGGTACCCTGATAAGTAAACCTCACTACAACTTATGTTGTCAAGTAAATCTAATGTCACTGGTACCCTAATAAGTAAACCTCACTACAACTAATATATATTGTTAAGTAAATCTACCATCACTGGTACCCTGATAAGTAAACCTCACTACAACGTATGTCATTAAGTAAATCTACCATCACTGGTACCCTGATAAGTAAACCTCACTACAACTTATGTCGTTAAGTAAATATAACGTCACTGGTACCCTGATAAGTAAAACTCACTACAACGTATGTCGTTAAGTAAATCAAACATCACTTGTACCCTGATAAGGTAACCTCACTACAACTTATGTTGTTAAGTAAATCTAACATCACTGGTACCCTGATAAGTAAACCTCACTACAACTTATGTCGTTAAGTAAATATAACGTCACTGGTACCCTGATAAGTAAACCTCACTACAACGTATGTCATTAAGTAAATATAACGTCACTGGTACCCTGATAAGTAAACCTCACTACAACGTATGTCATTAAGTAAATCAAACATCACTTGTACCCTGATAAGTAAACCTCACTACAACTAATACGTATTGTTAAGTAAATCTACCATCACTGATACCCTGATAAGGTAACCTCACTACAACTTATGTTGTTAAGTAAATCTAACATCACTGGTACCCTGTTAAGTAAACCTTACTACAACTTATGTCATTAAGTAAATCTAACATCACTTGTACCCTGATAAGTTAACCTCACTACAACTAATACGTATTGTTAAGTAAATCTACCATCACTGATACCCTGATAAGGTAACCTCACTACAACTTATGTCGTTAAGTAAATCAAACATCACTTGTACCCTGATAAGTAAACCTCACTACAACTTATGTTGTTAAGTAAATCTACCATCACTGGTACCCTGATAAGTAAACCTCACTACAACTTATGTCATGAATACACCTGGACCACTTCAAAAGTAAAAAAAAAAGTGAGCATGATCTTCCAAACAAGAAAAGTGTTTTATTTACAAACAAAGACATTTTATTCCAACATACTCGTCTCTTCTGTACAATTTTAATTTATTAAATTCAATGTTTAAGACTAAGATATGGACTATAATTAATATAAATATGTATAAACAACTGGCAGGAATACATTTGGACGACAAGACTAAAGCCAAATGAATCAGAGCAGTAGTTAAAACATAAAATCACAGAATACTTCAATAGAAACCTTGTACTTAACCTGAGAGAAACACTACAGAATACTTGTCCAATATCAAACATAAAGGTCACAAGTGCAGTGGACTTTGTTATATTGTTTCAGTCAAACTAGTTGAAATGTGGAACTTGAATCGTTCAAGCAAAAGAAAAACAAAGCTCAGATTAAATTAATAACAAAATATGTTTTGAAAAACCAAATCCTTGTTTGAACCAATTTAGCTAGAAAGTGGCATTACTCAGTTTAGTTTAGTTTTTAGCTTTATAGTAATACTCTGAAGTGTTTATAAAAATAGTAAAAATAACTGGTTTTAGTACTTATAGTTTTATCGATACACAAAACAATTTTTATGCATTAAAAAAGGTTTATAAAACTACAAATACACGTCTTTAATGATAGATGTTTAGTTTGGTCCCTTGAAAGTTTTAATGAAATGAACAAAACACTGTACACCCTCTTGAAGCACCAGAAAACGTTTTGCATCTTTAAGTAAAATCAAGAGAAAATCAAAGTTTGGAGCATTTACGTTTTAAACCTGTAAAAAAATCAAAGAACGTAACATTAGTTCTACAGATATAAATAAACAACACAAATGAAACCGTTAAATGATTGTGTTATGCTCAACAGATACTAAAGGTAAAATAAACACTTATAAGCTCATGCAACACAATCTATGCCATTCTTGTGAAAGATTTTACTTAGATAAAAAGTTCATATATTATCGTTAATTAACTTTCACTTATGAATTTGTCATTTTAAATGTTAGAATAATTCAATAAAGTTACATGAATGCTAACCCTACATTATATTCGTATGTTACAGTTCATATATTAGACTGAAATCTAGTAGCAAGTAAATATAATATGGAGTTGGATTAGAAGTATAAGTTCTTTAACTGTATTTTTACATTCTATTTAAAACTACATTTTATTTAATTGAGAAAGTTTGTTTGTTTGTTTTGGAATTTCGCGCAAAGCTACACGAGGGCTATCTGCGCTAGCCATCCCTAATTTAG